CTTATCAGCCAAAAATTTCTCTACTTCTGCTTTTTTGTTTATCCTTTCTACTTGGAGGGTTGAACCTCACTCACTTTTGTACCCTAGCTGGTAATAAGGATGACAGTGTTTCATCTATTCCTTAGGGAAGGACTTTGTGTATTTTGTTTTCGATTATAATGAGATCATCTCATTCTTCTTGCTCGTCTATAGCAATGAAGTGTGAGTAGTCCATTTACACTCTTCAGTGAAGGGTGAATACACATGTAATATTGTTTTAAGTTATGGAAATGTTGATGTCTTATTTATGCATTAATGTTTATACCTCCCTTAATTGCTAGATTGTTATTATTATAATATGCTCATGGTTATGAACACCGAGCAAAACTTATTGTTATATACTATTCTATCTATAAGTTATTACATACTTCATGTATGATTCAATGATGCATGCAATTGGGTTTTATGTAACAGCCAGTAGATTGGTTATAGACGGGTTAAATCTTGTCATAGCCAATACTTTTGATTCAATGCATAAAATGGAACTACACCTTCATTAAAACATCAACCTACTGATCAAATAATTAGAGCAAACCTTTTGAATGGTTCACCTTCAAGTTTACTAGGGTTATTTGGTTGTTGCATAGTACATAGACCTTCCGACTAACCCAATCAGTTGTTGTGATATGGTTTAGTTATACATCAAACCTACAGTTTAACTTTTCAGTAAAATGGGAGTTAATTGCTGTAAGGTGACAATTTCATAAATGAGTAATACAATGCATGTTGGATCCTCGACCTGAAGAGTACCTTTTATCATTATTATTCAAAACTTAGTCAAGTGTTCATTTCATAATTCTAAGCTCACACTAGAGGCCATTCCATTGCACACAACACGCACGACAATCTTACCTTTTTCTATTTTGAATACCAACAATTGGCTCCCTGTAGGTTTGACCTTGAACTTAAACTGAGAGATATTAAAATTTGACCACTTTGATTGTTTTACTTTGCTTGGGTTAGTCTTGTAAAGCTTGAACCATGGGGATATATCAAAGCTCGATAGCCGATGAGCAATCCTTTGCAAGGTTCAAGGAGAATCATAACATCCCTGATAGCGCTAAGGTGAGAGTGGCCTCAAGTGTAAAACTAGTGTAAATTTAAACTTTTCACGAAAAGGGACAAAATAGTAATTTGCCACTACGGTACAGATTGCAAACCTGAAATTTTCTAGAGCTCAGGTGATGAAACGAACCTCACCATTGGGTTCGTCTCGCGAAATCTAGTTACCCTGTCAATTTTCGTCGAATTCTGAGATAGTTAGATTTTTTACAGTTTACGAGATGATCAGATCTCAAGTGACCCAAAAATGAAATTTTTAATAAAATTTTAAAAGTAGAAAAATAATTTAAATTAATTCAAAATAAAAATATTTCGAACTTGAACCGGACCGAAATTTAATGATTTCGAGGCGAAAACGAACCAAGGAAAGGAGGCCTATGTGGCACAATAAGGACCAAGTATTTGGGGAGTATAAAAAGAGGAACAAATTAGATTTCTTCCCCGCAAATCTGCTGGGTCTTCACATTGGAGAAGAAGAGAGAGAAAAAGCAAGAAAATCCAACTTTTCTATGCGATCTATGCCTCCTCGTCACTCGAATCAACTCAAGCCAAGTATTAAAGTTGTTCTCCTCGACGAGGGCTACTCGTCCATACTAAAAAGGATGGATTCTACCAAATTTTTTGAGACAGGATTTTGGAGAAATCAAGGTTTGAGCTTGGGGTGTATTCTTAGAGCTTCCCAACGTTCTTTTACGCATCAAGAGGTAGGGTTTTCTCTCTAATTAGGTTTATTTCCAACCTAAGGTGTTTATATGAGATGGGTAGGTTGATAGAATTATATATCACTTGCCTATTGTTGTAAAGTTGATGGAATTGGGTATTGGAAATGGGTAAATTTATTTCTAGTGTGAATTGGTGATTTGAAATTGCTAAGTATGTGATTTCTTGGCAAAAATGTGGTTTGTGGACATGTTATGTGTACATTATGCCTCAATGAAATTAGTGTGTTAATTGCATGATTATGTGATGACATGCTTGGAAATTGTGTTGAATGAAATGTTGATATATGCTTATGATATATTGGCAATTAATAGATTATGGAAATTATATGCTTAGGATGTAATTATCCATGGTATGTGTTGAAATTGCTCATTAGGCATTCATTGCATATTGGACATGATGTTGGCATCACATAAATAGGCATTGGGCATGAGTGTGGGGGTGTGTGTGTGCATGGTTAAATCAAACACCATACTTGGTGGATGATGGGTAGGCCCGAAAAAAGTTGGAATGAAGTTCCGACTAAATCGCACGGTTGCATGAAAAACATGTGTCAGATATGGCAAGAAGGGCTAAACTCTCCCTTAGGTGTAAGACCCGACTATTGGTTTATACACTTCCGATGGTGCACATCCAAAAAAAGTGTATCGGTGTTCAAAGCCGGCGATGCAACTCCAAAAGTCTGCTACCTAACAAAGACACATAATTTTGTTTAATAAAATTATCATTTGATGTGTAACATCAATAGCGGGGCTAGAAATGCCCGATTTTCACACATTGGCATTACATTGTGTTGTGGGAGCCAATGAGGGCTCGAGTTAAAGTGCATGAGTGAGTCTCATCTCATTTCATGGCATAGCATAGAATTCTTGTCATCAAATGCATATTCTTGATGGGAATGTTTTGAATGGTTAAGTGTTGCATGTGAACATTTCATATGCATGTAGGTTAGGGAGTAGTCTCTTTAGGAGATACCCTATTGAGCGTGGCTCACCCTTCGTGGAAAAACATTTCAAGTGCGGGGGTCACACAGGCAGACGACTCCCAATTCGAGCCTTAAGGGTGAAAAAGGCTGACTTGTAGCTTTTATGACTCATTTTGTATAACTTTTGTGAAAATTCCATTTTTGGCATGTAAATATATGGAGTTGCTTGTAATAGAACTTATCTTATCATGTTTCATGTGAAAAACTTCATTAAACATGTATTGAATGGTTGCGGGACAGATTGGAAGTAATTGAAAATCAAAAATAGGTGAAACAGGCAGTTCTGGGCAAAACCTACCAGTATTGAGCAAACCTACCGGTAGATGTGGTCCAGTAGGCAAAACCTACCGATAGAATGTCACTTTTTCTGCGATAGAACTTTTCTAGAAGGCAAAACCTACCAGTAGGACATTAAAACCTACTGGTAGGTTTTCCAAAAATCTCAAATTTTAAGAATGTTGTGCCATACTTTTGGACTTTGGGTTCTTTTACTTAAATGATATAAATGGACATTAAATGAGGATAAATTGTTGTATATTGGACCTCGAATGGGTCAATAGAATGTCGTGTACACAGGTTATGCATTAGGAGTTTCTGGTACAAGGGAGACTCCGTCCAAATTTTAGGTTTTGTAATCCCGATTAAGGGGATGCTATTGACGTGATGTCGGATTGTGCGACCATCACAGATACTTTCGCGGTTTGATGGGTGGTCAACGGTTGATAAAGGACCCCTAATTTTTGGGGCGTCACATCAAGGGACATGCTCATCTTCTTCGATGGTTGGTATAAGTCGCCAATTGTTGCTATAGTTGAGGGAGGTCAGATTCCCTCTTCCTTACTTGGTAAGGGAGTTCTTGCGCATAATAGGCATTCAAGCAACTTACCTTAGTGAAAATTCCATTAGGATCCTTGGTGGGATGATGAAGTTAGTTGAGTTTCATGGTGTTTGGCTTTCTTATTGGGAGGTCTTGTCTTGCTATTACTTGAAGTTCATCCCAAACTCAGACCATAAATATTGTCGCTTGAGTAGGAAAAATCCCCTTATTCATTGCCTGGCTTCTTCGGCTAAGGGTTATGAAGATGAGTTTGTGCTAGTCAAAGGGAAGTGGGAGTATGGTCCTAGATCAGAGGGTGGATCTTTGTGCCCTTGAACTATTGGCGAGCTAGGTTAGCTACTTTACCTTCTACAATGTTCGCTTGCAAGTCAAATATTTACTAAACCTTTGTTTTTTCTTACCTCTTTAGTACCTTTTCATCCTCGAGTGGTCAAGAAACATCGCAACATCTCCATTATACAATCCTTGTCTGAGCCCTTGGGGGGTCCTACATTTGGGAGCTTCAGTCGATCCATTCCTGTATTAGTTGGTTTTGCCCCAACGTATTCTACACTTTGTTCTCTTCCTCTTGGCATCTCTTCCAAGACAGCTACTAAGTATTTTAGGTCGGTGAACTTTTATCGAGCGAGGAGTCATGTCAGGAAGACAATCCATGGTAGTGGGTTTGGGTATGATATCAAGAACATGATTGAGCCGCAGGTAGGGCCTAGCGAGCACACTAGAAAGGCAAGAGTAGGAGTGGGTGAGGAAGCTCGTTCCACTATCGGTAAGTTGAAACCATCTTGTTTCTTGCTTTCCCTAACTTAGCATTTTGTTATTTCTTCTTTTTTTAATGCACTAGAATTATAGGTATAGGAGACGACTTTCCCTCGATACAGTTACTTGATGAATTGGATGAGGATGAGTCCATGGCTACTAGAAGGAAAGGCAAGCTTTGAGCCCACATTACGGGGGAGGGGTCTACCAGGAGAGTGAAGTCTGTTGCTAAATGGGCTCAAGGACCCAGCTTGAATACTACTGTGGGGATTGACATTGAGGTTCCTAAAGGTGAAAGCTCAGTGTTCCAGAACATTGAGGTAGCCAGAGCGATAGGTGATAGTGCCATGCTTCCAAGAAATAAGGAGGAGGTATTAGGGATGGCACTAACTTGCTTGGTTGACTCTCTATATTAGGCATCTCTTCAGGTAAGCTTTCTTCTAAACACATCAACTTAGTTTCTCCAAAACTTTAGTTAACCTTTGATTACCTATGTAGAGCTCCTACCTTTCATTTGAGGTAGCTCGCCACTATGAGCAGTTTGAGCGTCAGGTAGCCTTGGCAAAAGAGTAGAATAAAGTGAAGGTTGCCTCTTTGCAGCAGGAGCTCGCTTCATCGAGGAGGGAAGCTACTAAGGCTGGAGCCCAAGCTAGCTCGCTTGAAGAAGAGCTCACAACATCAAGGAGGGAGATGGTTGGGACAGAGCAATGGGTTAAGCAGGCTTCTTGTAAGCACTACATGGGAAGCATAAAGACAACCATGGACAAACTTGATAAGCAGAAGAATAAGATCTTCGAGAGTGGCTGGGGAGTAGCACTCAAGGTAGCTAGAGTTAATAGTACTTCTTTAGCCTGGGAGAATGTTACTTGGCCTAAAGTTGACCAGTCATTTCCAGATATCAAAGGGTTATACCTTAATGACGGCGGCTCTTTTGATGGAGCCGAGACCTAGCTTTTACTCCTGCTTTCTAGTAAATGAACTGTCTTCATATATTTTGAATATGTATGAACTAAGTCTGAATGCTTTCTTATGTGAGAGAACTATCTTCGAATGTTGTGGATCTTTTTTCTAGTAATGAAGTAATTGTTCCCTTAAGCTTGCATGTATATATATTCTTAAGTTGTATTGCTTAAGAGTTTGTTGCTGCCTAACAACCTACCTTATTGTATAAATGCCTTAGCGGACATAAGGATACTTGCCTCAGAGGTGAGTTACCTTTAAAAAAAGGTTAGGTGATCAGGTTCTCAGGCCATAGAGGAAAGGCTAGGTTGCCTTTAGGTGTAACTGAGAAGGTAGCTCTTGAGTCATGTAACCATAGAGATTGGACAAAGGGTTGTGCCACCATGGTGATCGGCTTATGAGGAGCAACCAAGGAAGTTGGTTTAAGGAGGTGCAACCATGGAGGTTGGCTTTAGGAGGTGCAACCATGGAGGTTGGCTTAAGGGGTGCAACCGTGGAGGTTGTCTATAGGGATGCAACCATGGAGGTTGGCTTTATAGATGCAACCGTAGAATTGACTTAAGGGATACAACTATGGAGGTTGGCTTTAAGAGGTGCAACTATAGAGGTTGACTTTATAGTTGCAACCGTGGAGGTTGGTTTAAGGGATGCAACCGTGGAGGTTGGCTTAAGGGATGCAACTGTAGAGCTTTAAGAGGTGCAACCAAGGAGGTTGACTTTATAAACAAAGGAGTACTCAAAGTTGTAAAGAACAAGCTTTTCTTTATTGATCAACTAAAATGAATGTCGTTGTACTTATTGTAATGGCAAGATATTACTACTTACAAGTAAAACTTTTTAAGGTTGATGATATTCCAAGGTCGGTGAACTGGTTTGCCATCGAGCTCCTCCAATCTATTGGCACCTATCCTTGCTCGTGCCATGAACCTATAAGGCCTTTCCTAGTTAGGTCCCAGCTTGCCATTAGTAGGGTCCTTAGTCTGAGTGAGAACCTTATGAAGAACTAGGTCACCAGGTGTGAAGCTTCTTTCTTTGACCTTCTTGTTATAGAATCTAGCCAACTCCTATTGATATGCTGCCAGCCGAACCATTGCTTGGTCCCTTCTTTCTTCAATAAGATCCAAGTTATGTTCAAGGGTTTGATCATTGTTTCCCTGCTCATAGACCTCAGTTCTTATAGTTGGTAAACCTATTTCAAGAGGAATAATGGCCTTTGTACCGTATGAGAGGGAGAAAGTTGTCTCACCAGTTAAATGCCTTGCGGATGTTCGGTAAGCCCAAAGCACCATTGGAAGTTGTTTCACCCACCTTCCTTTGGCTTCTTCGAGCTTCTTCTTGATATCGTCAAGGATGACCTTGTTTGCTTGCCCATTTGATTAAGGGTAAGCAGGAGAGGAACAATAATTGCGGACCCCATACCACGAACAAAATTCTTTGAAAGCTAAGCTATCAAATTGAGTGCCATTGTCAGATATAAGGACATAAGAAATTCCATACCTTATGATTATATTCTCCCATACAAACTTCTTGGTATCAGTGTTGTGGATGTTAGAGAGGGACTTGGCCTCAATCCACTTTGTAAAACAGTCAGTTGAAGTGATGAGATATCTTTTGTTAGATGAAGCCCGAAGAAGGGGGCATACTATTTCGAGACCTTATTGAGTGAATGTTCAAGGGCTCGTGAGTAGGCTCAAGTCTGCTGGCTGTTGAGGTATAGTAGTAAACCTTTGACACTTGTCGTACTTTCTAACGTATACTTGTCTGTCCTTCTACATATACGGCCACCAATACCCCTAAGAGATTGCCCTAAGGGCAAGGCTTCTTCCTCCGGTATGGGCACCACAAACTCCTTCATAGATATCATAGAGTAGATCCTCCACTTTGCTAGGGTGGATGCATAGTAAGTAGGGCCCTAAGAAGGACCTCCTGTAGAGCTTATGATCCAGTGACAATGAGTAATGAGCTGACTTTGAGACTATAAGTCTTGCCTCCTTCTTATCTTCTGGGAGTCTCATTCTTAAGATAATGGACAAGAGGGTCCATCCAACTTATTGCTTGCCCTACGCAATTAACCTCTGTTAGGTCCTCATATATACTTGGTTTCTCCAGATACTCCACCTCAATTATTTGCTTTAAAACTTGTTTATCAGTAGAAGCTAAAGTAGCAAGAACATCAGCATGTTCATTATGGTCTTTTGGGATCTAGATCACCTTATAGGACTTACAATAGTCCAAGCAAGTCCTTTGCCTTTTCTAGGAACGAGGTCATTGTGTTTGAATGGGCGTTATACTCCCCGAAAAGTTGGTTAACCATTAATTGAGAATCAGAGTATATAGTCAACTCATCTACCCCCAGTCTCAAAGCAGCCCATACACCAAAGATTAATGCTTCATACTCAGCCTTGTTGTTGGTGGCAACGAACCCTAAATGGAGGGCCTACTCCAAGACTTCCCTACGAGGGGAGAACAAGACAATACTGGCTCCTAATCCTCGCCTAGTCAAGGATCCATCAACTTGCAACTCCCAAGGCTGGGACCTAAGAGCCAAGCTCCATGCTATTACCTGTTCTTTTGGTATCTTATATGTAAATTCTACTATAAAGTTGGCTAAGGCTTGTGATTTGATCATTGTTCTTTGGATAAATTTAAGGTCGTATTGCCCCAGCTCAAGTGACTACTTTGAAATGTGACCAGAGAGATCTGCCTTACCAAATACACTCCTCAAGGGGTGCTCAGTGATTATCATAATAGTGTGTGCTTGGAAATAATGGTTCATCTTACAAGAAGTTGTAACCAAGCTGAAAATGAGTTTCTCAAGGGGGTATACCTGGTCTCTACCCCCAATAAAGTATTACTTATAGAATAGATAGGCTTCTATTCTCTCCCTTCTACTCGTAGTAATACTCCACTTATAGCGTGTTCGGACACAGTTAAATAGAGTTGAAGCTCTTCCCCTCATGAAGGAATAGAGAGCAAAAGAAGTGTCTGGAGATAGCTTTTCAAGTCATCAAGGGGCCTTATCACACTCATCATCCCAGTGAAAGGCCCGACCTACCCTAAGTAACTGAAAGAAAGGCCTTCATCAGTCTGAATCTACGAATGAATTGGTTAAGGGCCATAGCCATGCCCGTTAACCTCTGAACTCCCTGGATTGAGGAAGGTTTTTTAATTGCCTACAAAGCCATAATCTGATGAGGATCAGCTTCTATCCCTCTTCGTGTCACCAGGTGCCCTAAGAACTTCTCGAAGCTTACTTTGAAGGCACACTTTGAGGCATTAAGCCTGAGCTTATGACACCTCAGGATATCAAATACATCTTGTAGGTTGGAGAGGTGGTTCTCTGACTCGTTGCTTTTAACCACCATATCATCTATGTATACCTCTATTGTTTTGCCGATCATGAAGCCAAAGAGCTTCATCACCATTCTCTGGTAAGTAGCTCCTACGTTCTTCAAGCCAAAGGACATGACCTTGTAGCAGTAGATCCCCTTTGATGTGATAAATGCGGTCTTCTCCTCATCTGGCCCAAACATAGGAATTTGATGGTAGCCTCTATATGCATCTAAGAAGCTCATCCTTCCAAGGCTAGATGTTACATCGACAAGCTAATCAATCTTCGGGAGTGGGAAGGGGTCCTTTGGGCAAGCCTCGTTGAGGTCCGTGAAGTCAATACATACTTGTCATTTTCTGTTCATCTTCTTCACCACAACGGTGTTCGACAATCATTCTGGGTATTGGACCACCCTTATAGCACTGGCTTCCAACGTTTGCCCACTTCTTCATCCACGGCTTTCGCATGCTGAAGGGTGAACCTCCTACTCTTCTGAACACAGGCTTGCGAGCAGGGTCAACATTAAGATGGTGGCCAGCTAATGAGGGATCAATACCCAACATCTCATAAGGTGTCTAGGAAAATCTCTCGATGTTCCTCCTTAGTAGCCCAATAAAAGACTCCTTCTTGAGTCCAGGTACCTGTGACCCAATCAAAAAGTATCTATCCGGATCTGCTGGGTCTATTGGTATGACCTATAGTTCTTCGATTGACTTGTCCTTGGGCTTGACCCCAACGTCCTCAAGAAGAGGGACCTCTTCATCAGCTATGAACATCTGTTGTGACTTGGCATTCAATTTAGCCCATATATTAAGGCACTGCTTAGAGGTAGCTTGCTCTCCACAAATCTCGACTATCCCTTCACTAGTAGGGAAGCATAACATCTGATGGCAAGTAGAGGATACTGCTTGCATCTGGTGAAGCCATGGTCTCCCCATGATAGCATTGTAAGGAGACGAAACATCTACAACTAGAAAGTCTACCTCGAACAGTTGTGTACCGGCCTTAATAGGAAGTCGCAACCTGCCAAGAGGCCAGACTTGCATGCCATTGAAGCCAACCAATAAGGTCGTCATTGGTAGGAGGTTGGCCTGAGTTTTCCCCAACTTCTTGAATAAGTCATAATACATGATCTTCTTTGAACTCCTAGGGTCAATAAGCACACACCTCACTTCGAAGTCGCTCATGTTGAGAGTAAGAATGAGGGGGTCATTATGTGGGTGGACCACTCTTTCCAAGTCTACATCTGAGAATGTGACGGGAATGCCGTCTTTCCTATGATGAGGGTGATCATACCTCAAAGAGGGGTCTTTGAGGGTACGGTTAGTAACGCTTCTCCTGGGTGAGTACTTGTTTTGATTCTAATTGTGAGTCAAGTAGCTCCTTGCTTGAGAATAACTCCTATGTTGAGAGGAATAAGCTTCCTCAATGTGATCATCCTGACGATCATAGTTACGCGTTGAACGTCTGACCTCACTAGCATGTTGCTTGCCACTCTAGCGTAGGAGGCCTTGTCTGAGAGCTTCTAGCTCCTCCGTTTACTTCCTGATTACCTCATGGTAATCAATCTCAGTAGCTAACCCGCCTTCTGCACCGAGAGCAAGTAGGTTGTGGTGAGAAGGATGATTTTCTCTTGAGTGGTCCTGTCTAACACAGAGTA